ATCAGTCCTTCTCTCTGGGTCTGGTTAGCTTGCCTTCTCTCGAGTCTCCACCTTCCAAGGCTTTCTCTGCGTTTCTGTGATGTGTGGATATGCTTCTGTGTGGAGCTTCTGCCTACGCAGTCTCTGCCCACACAGGAGCCTCTTCTCTTGGCATAATTAAACAAAGAGGAAAATGGCTGGGAAGGCAGCCAGCTGGAATCAGAGCAGGCAGTCATGTTCAGCAGGAGAAAGAAATCAGGGGCAATATTGGCTTTCCAGGTCCTTGAGCTTGTGTTTAGGGAGAGCAGAGCCACATGCCCAGAGGCTGTCTCTAGATGGATAACCACACTTGGTATCTGACTCGGTCCTCAAAGTAGGTCAATAAAGGCCAGAGATTTATCAGGTCGAGACCTTACTTGTGGGCTAATAGAGCCAAAGAAAAGCTACTCAGAGAGAGAGCAAGAATGTCCCCAAATTATTAGCTTCTGGTGCTCCCATGGGACCTGCTGAAGGCTGAGAGCAGCACGTGAGGTGCTAAAACTGTGAAGGTACTTGCTAATCTTGTAGGTCTGGGTTCAGCCCCCGGTGACGCACAACCCTCCGTAACTCCAGCTCCGTGGGATCTGAGGGTGTGTGCATGCATACATACACATACACATAAAGTAAAATAAATATCTAAAATTTTTAAAGTCCGAACAAATATCTTAACCAACCAGTCAAGATCACAATGCCCACCAATGTTATTCCTTGTCCCTAAAATTCCATTTCGCCCAGTTTTTTTTTTAAAGCAATGCAGTTCTGAAGTCTCGAAGAGAGGCTTGTAAGGGAAAGAAGGACCTGGTGCCCTCTGCTGGCAAGATCTGGTACTGCCAGAAGCGCTCAGAGGCCATGCATAGGTGCTTGGACCCACAGACACTAGACAGCTAGAGCCTCAGAACTCGCACAGGCAAAATCACATGAGTAAGAATGATAGATAATATTCATCACAAAGAAATCGCTATCTACTAGGTGCTGGTGGGAACTTCATAAATTAGTTCATAAATTAATTCATAAATTAGTTCACATTTCAGTTCTCCAGCATTTGCTCTCAATAGCGCTAAAAGATTTTGTAGAACAGGCTAAAAGTTCCCCAGCTAGTAAGTGCTACTTCAGAAGCAAGCCTCAAGCCTGATGGCTATAATTGCATGCTCTGTCCCACTTGCAGTACTTCAGCTCCAGCTTAACAGGTGCCCTGACTTGAGTCATGGTTTTGATATCAACTTGACAACCGACCTCTGATTCCAGATTCAGGCCAAACCTTGCCTTCTGTTCTTAGAGTTTGCATTAGCTCTTACCTCAAGATGGATGGACCTTCTCCCTATGAATCTGATTCCTTCCCAAGCTTAAAAAACTATTTCCATATGTCTTTCAGTGCTAACAGCCAAACCCTAAGAAAGGAAGAAAGGAAGGAAGGAAGGAAGAAAGAAAGAAAGAAAGAAAGAAAGAAAGAACAAAAGGGAGGGGGAAGGGGGGAAGAGGGTAAGATATATATATTAAAGTTATGCTAATGACTGCAGTTGGTTTTCAAGGTTAAGCCTATGATGGGTAGCTACAAGACTGCCTATATAGATCTCCTTGAAATAGATATGGTCCTAAAACACTTATCTAAGGAATATGCCAGAATTAGAGAATATAACATTCTCGTTTTACAGGATGCAGTTTAGAGCAGATAACTAAAGACAGACAAAGACTAACTCAGATATGCTGGCCCTCAAGCTTGTCAGAGATCTGATGAATATGACATCTAATGTATGTAGGTTTTATTATGACAGAGAGTCCCAAAATCCTGGCAGTAGCTCCCCAAGGTCTCCGAGAAGATTTGGGTACAACAGATGACTTCAACTCTGGATTGTGGCATGCTAACCACTGGTCAAAGCTACCCCTACTGGCTCACCACTAGGGCTCAGCCTAAACTGTGGACAAAACTGTGGACACTGGAGAGTCATTGTTTCATGTTGCTGAAGGCAAGGTATTCTCAGTCTCTCGTGTTCTTTTTCCTCTGCTCGTGATGCCATGAGACCACAGAAGCGAGGGACAACTGCCCAGGTTGTGGACTGACTAGTCATCTGTCATTTTGATTAGTATATAGTACATTTATTTAGCTTTTAATGTATCCTTCTCAGGTCTCTGATCACATTGATGGCCAACCAAGCTAAGCCCTAATTAGTTTTGCAGCTAAAGAGCAGACAATTAGATCTACTGTTTATTCATTGGTCGATTCGCTAGCTAGTTAGAACTACCAGGTACTAGATCTCTTATTTAGAAAGGCAAACAGGTTTGCCCTACTCATAGGCTTCATGTTAACTGCCTGTGTCTTATGGTGAATAACTAGATAGAAAGATATAAATATATATGTATATATCTTTGCAGGAGATTAGCTAACTAGGAAAATAGGAGTGGGTGAACATTTTGAATTTCAGCCAGGCCAAGGTGTCCTGCAGTCATGACTATTGAAAAGAAGACAATGAAACCGAGGTCTGCTGGAAGAGAGAAGAGCTAAACCTCAAGGCAGGCATGACCTCAGCAGAAAAGCCCTTGACATGTTTTGACACTTTGGAGCAAATCTAGCAGAGTGCAAGATGTAAGTGTGTAGATGCTTGTCCCGCCCCCTTCTCCAGGGTGGCAGCTGGCCACACTGGGTGGCCTTGTCAGTGGGTCACAGCTTTGCTTGGCAGGAAGGACTTGGTCTCCCCTGGTTACCACACTGACTGATGGAAAGAATCATGTCGCTCTCCGTAAAGGAAGGTGCTTCAGCCCCAAGTGGAGACCGTCTCTTTCTGCCTCCCTTCACAAAATAAGTACGTAAATACAAAAACGATGGACTCAGGTTTCCTTTCGTGTGAACTTAGGAGCCCTGTTACTTGGGATGTGTCATTTTAACATGGAGATAATGCTGGTGCCCTTCTCACATGGTTGTAATGATGAACTGAGACAGTGTACGTGGCCCAGAACCTGGCATAAAGTAACTCCTCAGCAAATCAAATCTAGTGTTTTCAGTAGCTCTCTTTCCAGCTTCCTGATCTGGAAAGAATGAGCATAATAATAAACTTCCTAACACTGTTATAAGAACCAACGGGTATAACATATGTATAGCAGTCACGAATGCCTCCTTAACAGTATGAAAAATAGCAAGTTTTGTCAATTTCATTTACGTTTCTAATTATCTAACTTTCAGAAGCTTTTTTTTTTTAATCTCAGTTGTATTTTATGGATTTATGTCTGGTTTTTCCTTCCCCAACTTAGGGTCTTGCAAAAGTCTCTGGCCATCTGAGGCCGAGCTGATGGTCTCTTGACAGTGCCAGCTGGTGTGTGCCTTGTTCAAGCTTACACACTTTTAGGGGTCCACTCTGGGGTTCCAGTGCTTCATGACACTGTGATCAGTCTCTAGTTTCCAAAAATAATCCTGAGTTCTCCCTGTTCTGTGCCCCCTAGGAAAGTGGGATCTAGGCTGCTTCCTCCCAAGAGATGTTAGTAGGCAGAGATCTGGCTCTTATTACTTTTACCTTCTGAATATGGCAACGGGAGCTCTGCAGGCGTAACTAAAGGTAATAGTACTCGGCTGACCTTGAAACAGAGAAATTATTCCACATTATTCAGGTTGACCTAGCCTAATCTGATGGGTCCCCATAAAGAAGAGCCTTTCTTTTGCTTGGTCCTAGAAATGGAGTGCTTAGGAAGAAGGGAGTGGCGCCTAAAGTAGGCAAGCATCAGAAAACCAAAGAGAAGAGTTCTACACTCAAGGGTGACAAATTCTGCCAACAGCCTGAATGAATCTGGAAGCAGATTCTTCCATGAAGCCTCCAGTTAAGAGCCCAGCCCAGTTGACTGCTGAATTCAGTCTCATCAGGCCCCAAGCAGTGTGGAGCTGAGTCACACAGCTGTGAGGTAATATGTGGATGCTGTTTTAGGCTGTGAAGTTTGTGGTAAGATGTTACAGCTAGGAAAACAACAACAACTAACATAACCTTCAAGCTTCCTGTTCCTTAATTAGTCTTAAGGAATATTCCACCTTCAGGTCCAGAAGTTTCTGTTCTTTCATTTCTAAGCCTGCGTAGAAGAATGGGAACATTTGCCTCCAAGTTAATATTTGAAGTCCTAAGAGACCTGGCTTTTGGAAACAAAATGGTGCAGAGGTTTCTGATGATTCCTGGTCTGGATGCTGCAATTCAAAAAGCTTTATATTCCGGGGATGCAAACATTTCAGTTACTTCCTATGATAGAGGGCAGAGATGAAACACCCAGTACCCAGAATGATGATGTCAATAACATTTCTTGCCATATACAGAAGCACCTTGTTTGATGCTTGTTACACACTGAGGTATTTTTAGACTAAAAGAATTGACTTTTTTTTTTTTGTTGTTGTTGTTACAGGAACTTGAAATTGTGTTCTAACCTACTTCTACATAACCCCAAACCGTGAAAGCACTGTCTTCAACACAGTAACAGGAACTGCTCCACCTCTGGAGGACCCCATATGGTGACATCACACCCCTCATAGAAGAACAGAGGTAGAAACAGATGTACATCTGACCTTGAAGCTTATTTTCCTGCATCCAGGAGACTGGACTTGGTCCATTATCACTGTGTTTTTGCTGCTGCAGACAAGGATTCTATGGAGTGGCAGGAGTCATCCACTCTAACAGAGCCCCCAAGGGGGTCACGTGTGTCTATCACACTGTACTAAAAATAAGTTTATTTTCATCTCTCTAAGTCCATCAGGTATGTGATGAAACTGTTCACCTCCTGTCTACCCCCCAATCTAGTTCAACGTGATTTGGGAGCAGAGATGGTAGAAAAGGCACCTATCTTCTTCCAGCACTGGGCTTCTGTGTTTCAGCTTTCCTCAATAAATGTGTATGTGTGTACCTACTAAGTATCAGGCAGTTTGGGATTTGGTAATATAGAGATGAATGAGGTAAACCCAGTGCCAACCTTATGAATGTTACATTTTATTAACAAATCAGAAAATAACCACAGACTTTAAAATGTTTTAAAGTGCAGTAACCCTCAATATCTTCTGATGATGACACTTATCATCCTGTTACACCCTAGTTACACACCAGGTTCATTTTAAAATACCGCCTGGCACAGCTCAAACCTGAAGTCTGGCCATGCCCTGAAGCAGCTGAAATGGTGACCTCGAGCGAATGCAGTTCAGAAATGATATCAGCCTTCTTTCCCTGTAGCTCCAACACTGTCTTCGTCCTATTTCAGTAGACCTCCTTTAAATGGACCAGGGCTCCCAGCACTCACTCGTGGTTCTCTGTGATCGTGGTTATGCTTATGAGAATGCATGTGTGCAGAAGACAGAAACATTTAACGTGGCACTCAGTCTTGAGCCAGTGTGCCCATGAACGTGCATGTGCGTGTATGTGAGTGAGGGACAGATGCATGCTATAGCCCACATCTCTAGCTAGGCATAGACAGGCCTATGTTTCTGTGGCCCAGCAACTAAGATGGCAGTTTCTGCAGGCAGGCTTTCCTGCCACTCTGGATTCACTTGAGCTGGGATTCCGGAGGTCAGGATGAGGTCATTCTTTGCCTATGGGTTTCTCCTGGCCAGCCTTTCCCTCTCCATCCTTGGAAGTTCCTTCGCCAGGCTCAGCCTCATCATCAGCCTCAGCTATGTCCTCTGGCATTGGCCATTCTCGAGTCTGCCACTCCAGCCTTTCGATGCGGTAAGCGATCTTCAGTGCGCTGGACTCCAGCTCGGCCAGCAGGCGAGCAAACTTGGTCTGTAGATCATCAAGCTGCTCGTCCAGGCCTTTTAGCCGAGCCTCTGTGGCCTCCTGCAGGGCAATCTCAGCTGCCTCAGCATTCACATCCAACTTATTCATTTTGAGCAGTATCTCCCGGCCTTTCTCCTCCATGACGGCCTGGGCCTGTGGATACTCACTCAGCACCTCCCGCAGATCCTCCTTGCTGAGGCAGAACAGGTCCGAATAGCCTAGGCTCTTGATGTTGGCTGTTCGCCGGTTTCCAGACATGTTCCCTATGGTCCAAGGGCAGACAGATGTGGGAAGAGCAGTTAGGAGGGACAGGAAGGTGGCATTTCACTCCTGAACCAGGATATAGCCTCCATATTGGTGCTTCCAAACTCTCTTTCTGCCTTATTTATTTATTCTCATTTAGTTGTGCTGGTGACCAAGCCCTGTGCTTATCAGTAACCTTCCTTGCTAGACATTTGATGGGTAGTTCTATGACAACCTAGCCGGTGCAGGGATTTTCAGCTGGTCTGCTGGCACTTCCACGAGTGCCCACGGGACATATCTGCATTGCTGTCTAAGAATCCACCCCGCCCACTGACCTTGGCTCAGATGCTTCTCAGGGAACAGATAATCCATATCCTGTTTCTCCCCTGAGTCCTCAGACAAGGACCATATCTCCTTAATCTACATGCCCCAAAGTCCCATCTTGTCCCAGGGATCTGTCATCCCCACTGCCCTGCCCAGCCCTGTGCCTCGCGGCTCTCCCTGGGGACCCACCTTTGATGTTGATGATACTGATCTCCCCGAAGTAGAGCCCCGCGCCAAGCACAGCATACTGTGTGACCCCGTCGTCTGCCACCACGGCCAGCTGGCCCTCGCGGATGATGTACATCTCTCGGCCGATGTCCCCTTTGCGGCACACGTACTCGCCTGGCGAGTAGGTCTGGGGCTGGAGCTTCAGCACCAGCTCTTCCAGCAGGCTGGCTTCACAGCTCTGGAAGATCTGTACTCGGCTCAGGGTAGACAGGTGCACGGACACAGCAACCTCTGCCCGAAGCCGCTCAGGCAAGTGCTGCAAGATGGCTACCTCATTGGTCATCTTCTTGTTGATCTGCAGATGCTGGTACCTGGGAGAAAGGCAGTACCATCTCCTCACCAGAATCCAGAGTGTCTGCCTCCACCCACTCACCAGGACTCAGCTCAGCCACGACCGGAGCCACACTGGGTTCTCTAAGAGCAACGGGAGTACCTCACAGCGCCTGGCTCCCTTTCTTGGTTCACAGACATGATCTTTTCTACTTCATCCAAGATGCGGAGGCCCCTACCGCTTGATAGCAGTCACATTTCCTTTACTTCCCGTCAGGCCCTGCCCCCAGCCACAGGGTCTGGTCCCATTTCCACACTGAGTTGCTTTAGTCAGCAAGCTCCCACCCTCTCAGACAGGCTTTGTGGTGGCTCTGTAACACTGAGACATTTCCTTTTTTTCAGAACATAGTTTGCAGTATCATGATGTAACCAACCATCTGTTGGCCATCTCCTGGCTGGATAGTTCCCTTCTCCACTCCTTTCAGAGTCTCCCGAAACCTCTCAGGCAGTGGCAGCTCTCATTCTCTGGTCTGTGTCACTCTTTTGTACAAATCCCTCTCCCTGTCAATCTCCTGCCCACCGTCTTTCCCTAGTCCAGAGTCCCCAGTGGAAGACACCATTTTCTAAGCCCAATCCAGCAGACCTACCAATGAACGCTACCTTCCAGCTGCCGGGTTCAGCTAGCAGGCAGTAAGAGGTCCTAAGGCACACCTCCCCCCAGCGGGTCTGCAACCAATCTTCTCACCAGTCAATCACGCGGCGCTCCAGCCTCCGGTTGACATGCTGCAGCTTCATGTACTTCTTCACGAGAGCATGGTCTGGGTAGAAGGCTGCATCTGCAGTGTTCATGTTGTAAATGACAGAGCTCATGCTCCCCATGATGGTGGCGAAACCCATGACGGCCAGCAGGAAGTCACCCACCATGAAGAGATACTCTTCCTCCCTGGCTGGCAGTGGTGTGTCGCCCACAGTGGTCAGGATCAGAGTAGAGAAGTAGAAGCTGTAGAGATACTGGCGCCGCAGGGTCTCAAAGCCCGGCTGCGCAGGGTCTGGGTACACCCACGCATCCCGTCCGAAGCCCAGGTACCTAGACAGGGCAAAATACAAGCAGCTGTTCCAGTGGATGACAACAAAGATGTAGAGCATCAGCTTGGCGATGCGGAAGGCGTTTGGGTAAGCTGTGCGGGTCTCTGTGCGGTCAAAGGCCTCGAAGAGACGGGGTACTCGGAGAAAGCGGTTTAGCCTGAGCGTGGGGATGTGGGGGCCTAGCCGGACGTAGGCTGCGTCTGTGGGGACCAGGGAAGCCAGGTCCAATAGGAAGCTCCAGGTGCGGACGTAGCGACTGGCGATCATTCCTTTGTCCACCACCAGGATGCCCTGCTCTAGGAATCCTGGAATGAAAGGGGGAGAGAGAGTAGGGTCAACCACGGGTAGGGCTGGGGCAGCCAGGTAGGATAGGACAGACGTGAGGGCAAGATGCAGGGAGGTTTCTGGGGCGAGCTCTAAGGCGTTGTCAAATACAGCGACGGGTGCCAATGCGGTCAAGAGGTGGCTACTTCCGTAATGGAAATGTGGGGAAAGGTTAGCCCCAGGGACTCACTGACCTGTGTGGAAGCGCACCCCAATGTCTAGTAGGTACAGCAAGTCACTTGTGTAGTCCAGCACGAACCAGGCCACCAGGTAACTGTGCTGCAAGTCAGGAAAGCACGCTCTACAGGACAGAGGCAGAAGGAACTGGCTTAAAAGTTTCAGCTAAGTGTAAGGTGGGTTGGCAGGACAGGCCCCTCTTAATCTGTTTTGAGTCCTTCCAGGGAAGACACCCCTCCCCTAGGCCCTGCCCTCTCCTTGATCACTCTTTAGTACAGCTTAAGGCCCTCATTTAGCACCCCTGCCAAACCTGCACACAATGATGATGAGGTTATACATGACTGGGAAGACCATCGTGTTCAGCCACCAGTAGTAATAATCCCCAGACGGGTCTAGGACGGGCAGCCTCTTCCTGTAGGGAGAAGAGACCCCTCTCATTCACCCACCAGATACTCAGCGCTCGGTCTGTGACCAGGAGACCAAGGAGGAGGCCCCAGGGAGTGAGGTGATAAGATCCCCCACAGAGGAGCGGACTTCTCACCTGGGTTTGGTTGGGGCTGTGGGGCTGGACTCTGTTGTCTTCACTTTGCTGTCCTGGCTCATGGTTCTGTAGCCTGGTCCTAGCCTGTAGAAGACCCTGTGCTTTGCTTCTCTGACTACAGGTGGCTTGACAAAGTGCCTGGCTTCCTGGAAGAGGCTGTCCTGGGGCTCCAGCTGCGTCTTCTCTGTCTTTGAAGCTCTTAGCAACACAACTAGGGCTAGCAGATATGGAGTGGGTGGAGTCCATGTCGCTCCAGCACCCTGCCACTGTCTCCCAGGGCAGAGGCTGGTTTACACCTGCCCAACTAAACACCGTTAATGAGGTCCCTGGAGATGGTGGGAGGTGGAGACTTGGGAAGCAAGGTTCACGTTTGTTGCTGTCTCCTTTTGCCTTCCCCTTAAACCCGTGATATCAAGGTCAGGAAACTCAGCCTGCCTTCAATGTAGGTCTGAATTCTGTTTTACCTTATGCAGGTTCTCTGTTTGGACCTAGTTATTTATTTAACAGTTATGTGCCAAGTGGCTCATTCCTGTCAGGTGTTAAACCAGTCTCTAGGGACAAAGGAGTACCTCTCACATCAGAGGTGTTTTCATTAGCTACACCTTTGTCCACATACATAGTAGCCAACCTTCTGGAGTGTCTGCCATCTTCTGTCACTTTGTCCTTTTACTGTTATCTCTCATGCCGAATGCCGCCAGCTATTGCACGTTTTGCAGAGCCTCAACTTCTATCAACGATTCTGGTGAACATTTCTTTCCGTAACAAAACAAACACCTCTCCTATAATTTCCCCATCAAGCTGATGTCCCTGCTGATATTGCCATTGTTTTCAGCCAAGGAGTCATCATTAGCATAGCAGTTATGTGCCAGGCCAAGACCGTGCTGAGTGGCACAATCCCCTGCCCTCATAAGCTCAGTCTTGTAGGAGTGTTCAGTAGGGTGGGATACATTTAGGTAAACACCCAAGCGTAGTCCTTGCAAAGAGACTGGTGAGCACTCTGCTAGATGGGTATAGAGAGGGCTCTTAAGGTAGTAGGAAGAGTCCCAACTGAGCTGTGCTCTATAGGATAAATAGGAGTTAAGTGTAGGGATAGGAGAGTGAAGAGCCAAGGCAGGGTTCAAAGCATTGAAGCCCGAAAAATTATGGTGACTGGGAGAATATCAATAATGTTAAAATATTTAAAAAATTTATTTAGTATTGCTATTATTATTGTGTGTGTGTGTATCTCTGTGTGTGCGTGTGAAAGAGATAGATAGATAGAGATAGAGAGATAGATAGAGAGAGAGAGAGAGAGAGAGAGAGAGAGAGAATGTTCCATAGTGACTATGAAGGTCAGAGTAGGTGTCTTTAGGAATCAAACTCCAGTGATGAGGCTCATGCAGGAAGTGGTTTTACCTGCTGAGCCATCTTGCTGACCCTCCTCCTCCCAATTTTAAAAGACTAAAGAGAGAGGAGCCAGAAAAGGGGAGGCAGTAGTGAGAATGAGGCTGAATGGTGGACAGAGTCCAGATCAGGAGAGTTTTATCAGCCATGAAATTAACCTTGATTTTTTTTCAGAGACAATAGGGAACCCGTAAACTATTTTGCATAGTTATGGGGTAGTGTCAGGTTTATATTTTTGGAATTTCTTGGAAGAAATATCTACATCCCTAGGTAATGTTTTCAAAATGCTTTTATCCATAGCTTTTGTCACCATTTCTTGTTTTTCTGTTTATTTCTTAGTCTTTTTTAATAAGTCTTTGCCCATTCTTTCTAGGTTAGTGATATCTAGAACTCTTAGATTTCTCTTTTTCATGTCCATCTTCAACACACTTTCTGGCTGATCTAGGTCACCCATAGAATTGCTTTGCCATCTAGTAACTCTCATGAATACCACCGAGCTTCAGTTATCCACAGGATTAACTGCATGTTAGATCCCACGATGATACTTCACACTCACAGTGTTAGTTACTGTTCTAATGCTGTGAAGAGACACTACCATGGCGACTCTTTGCCAGATGTGATTTAATCCTAGAACTCAGTGGAGAGGCAGAGGCAGGTGGATCTTTGTGAGTTCAAGGCCAGCCTGGTCTACAAAGTGAATTCCAGGACAACCAGGGCTGTTAACACAGAGAAACATTGAGGGCTTGTTTACAAGTTCAGAGGCTTGGTCCATTAGCATCATGGCAGGAAGAACGGCAGCAGGCACAGCAGGTATGCTGCTGGAGCTACATCCTGACCTACAGGCCGGCAGGAGAGAGAGAGAGAGAGAGAGAGAGAGAGAGAGAGAGAGAGAGAAGCCTGCTGTGGGCTTTTGAAGCCTCAAAGCCCAATCCTAGTGACACACTTCCTCCAGCAAGGCCACACCTACTAATCTTTCTAATTCTTTCAAAGAATTCCACTCTCTGGTGACTAAGCATTCACATATACGACTCTCTCTATATCCTATATAAATGAAGTATGATTCCTTCCCTGTTCAATGACACAGGCTCTCTCACTGAAACTCAGAGTTACCTTCCATGGCTAGATACAGGTGGGTCACCACACCCCCTGGTGCTATCTCTCCAGTTCCCTTTGTTTTTGAATTTATATAGGATATCAATATCTAATCCTTCCTTTTCCCTTATCTAGTCACCCAATTCTCAAACCTTTCTAATGCCTACATTTCTTCCTTTCTACATTCTTATCCTTGTTCTTGAATGACCTTTAGGAAAGATGTCCATGCATAAAATTTTATCTCTCTATTGTTCCGAGAATACAATACAGTTTAACATGGCCAACCAGTCCTGCTGTATTTTATATTGTTTTCATTCTCATCTGATCTTTGCTTTGCATGTTCCCAGGTTCCAGACACACTGTACTGGTTACAGTTCTCGGTGTCTTGACCATTCTGCCTTGCCTTAGTATGGGCTAATCCTTCAGGCTGAAATTTTCATTTCTTTCTTCTTTTTGGGTACTTCTTACTTTGAGCCAGTTTTGGGCTTACAGAAAATTCGCAAAAATAACACATAAAATCATAAACTCCTGACCCACGTTCGCCTGTCATCCATCATCTTATGTAACCACAGAAGAATGATCACAACAACTGATATACTTCCCCCTACAGACTTTATCGGAAACTGCTAATTCTCTATCATAGTGTTTCTCGTTTCTCAACCAGCATCTCCTCCTGGAAGCCATCCCTCAGCTCTTTCATCCTCTGTGCACAGAAATCATGCTAAGTGCTGCTGCTTCTTTTACAGCCCTAATAAGGACAACGTTGTAACTGTTTGAGACAGGTTCTAATGGATTAGGAATCCAGGCCGTCATGTAGGAACTTATTCCTCCTTCCACGGGGTCGCGGAAGCTTCGGGAGGGCCAGGAAGAGGCGGTCCTCGCGGGTAGGAACGTAGAATCCAACCTGCTTGCCCGAGTCTGGCGAACATAAACTAGCGTGGTCTAGGGCAGCTTTTCCACAGGCTCTGCTCACAGATTGGCCCTTGGCCTAGATCCCTGAGGGACAGCCTTGCCCAGGCGACACCAGAAGCACGGCCTAGGACCCGAGGCCCCCGCCGTCGGGCTCCAGCCCGGAGCCTTCCCAGCTCGTCCCTCCCTTGGCGAAGCCTTCTGCCCTCGGGCTCCGAGCTTCCTCCTCAGGCCCCGCCCCGGACCGCAAGGCCCCTCCTCCTCCTCTCAGGTCGGCCCCTATGAAAGGCCGGAAAGCTCAGGGGGGCGGAGTCTGCGGCGCGAGGGGGCGGGGCCTGGGCGCGCCGAGCCGCTGTTTGCTTGGAAGGCGGACGGCGGCCCCGCCCCTGCGCTCGGCCGTTGCCAGGAAACGAGCGTTGACGCTCAGGCTGGGGCCCGGGCGGGCCAATGAGCTGGCACGCCGCTGCCCCGCCGTGCGTCGCTGGGCGGTTGCGTGAGGTGCGCGGGGTGCGGGCTGCGTGTGGCGCGGGGCGGGGCGCGGCTGGTGCGCCTGAGGAGCGATGGCGGCGGCCTGAACTCACCTAGCCCGGCCGCCGACAGGCCCGGGCAGGGCTGCGTGCTGCAAGCGAAAGCGACGCGTGGGTCGCGGCGCGCGCAGGAGCGCAAGGTGCCGAGGGGGCTGGGGATGACGGCACCGGGTTTGGGACTTGCTGGCGTGAGGGGACGTGGCGAGGGGATGGCAGGTGGTGAGGGGCTGCGAGCGTCTGAGGTGGCCCAGGGGGACAGCCTGGGCGCTGTGGGCCAGGAAGAGGCCGGCTAGAGGAGGTTCTGGGATGCTTTCTGAAGGGCCAGGTTGAAGGAACTCACGGACACCGTTTGCAGAGGGTGTGGGCTCGCTGAGCTTGGAAAGGTGAGGGACGTCCTGGGACAGGAGTTGAGGGGTAAGGCCTGTGCCAGGTTGGGGAGCGTCAAAGGCCAAGGCGGGAACCCGCGGGGGCTGGCTGTGCCTGGAAGGAATTGAAGACAGGGCAAAGGAGGAAAGAGACTGAGGGTTCTGAGACTTGGATGAGAGATGATGTTGGTTTTGGGGCCACCTTGGATGTCCTGTCCTGTCCTGTCCAGGGAAAGAAATAGTTTAGAGCAAGTAAGGACAGCGTAGGGCCAAGTGTGCACTTGGCCAGCCTGCGCACATGTGTATGTTAGAGAGAGAGAGAAAAGAAAACAAAACACACCACACTTAAAACAGCGTCACGAGCAGTATTAACTATGATAATGAAAATGTTCGAGGTAATAAAACCACAGTTTCCTCAGGATCTGCCTTTGTAAGGCAGACTTTAACATGAGAACCTCATGAAGTGTTTTTGGAGAGGTAGAGAGATAGAACTATTTGTATTTTCTCTCTGCCTGCTTCTGGACACCCTTACTCCATTCCTCCTTACCTATGGTTGTCATCTGTATTGGACGCTGATTCTACTTTCATGGAAGTCACATGGTTTGTCACAATGCAGTACTGTATTTAGGTTTAGTCTCCTTGGGAGTTTGAAAAGAAAACACAAAACATGGCTTGGTGGAGATAAATTTTTGCACAGTCAACTGCTCATGCTTTAAATTTGTGTTTTGACATAGGTGTACATTTGTGAAAGCAAGATGCCAAACACTTTTACCACCTTGAAAAATTTTCTATATTCTTTTACAGTTCACCAATCTCCCTCCCCCCCAACTCTGTAATTAAGTTCATTTTATAAGCCTATCTTTTTATTAACCTACACAGACATGAATTATGGAAAGTTAGTCTCCATCAGTGGTATGGCCATATTCCCATCACTGGATCGTCTCCACTGATGGTCTGCTGTGTAGGTGAGGCATTTTGAGGCTCCTTAACCAATGTTTAGACCTTTCCTCTGCAGAACATCCTTTGAGAGTTGGAGCAGCCTCAGTCCACATTCTGTTTCAGAATCTCAGCTTCAGAGCTAGTTATTTTATCGTGCGATATATTTTCTTCCCTCTGACGACCAAAGAGGCCTTCTTCACGATGATAAAACCTTGGCTGCCTGCCCAGAGAAGCAGAACTTTGTAAGACTTACAAGCATAACAGGTTTAGTAGTGGTCCCTAAACACAGAGCCATGGATCTGATCCATGGTAGGGTTCATCCATATAAGATAGGAAGACAGAGCTAAAGAGAAAAGTTACAACCTGGGGTGGCGTGGGGATGTAGCTCCATGGAAGAATAGACTGCCATGTTCAAGGGATCAAGTTTGATCCATAATACTGTCAAAAAACGGGGGGCAGGGGAAGGAAAGTAGGGGCGGGTTGTCATTTAACTTATTCCAAGACTATTGTTCTTACTCCTTTGGTGTTAAGGTGCTCTTTGTTCTTTCACAAAAGAGATAAGTAGTGGTAAAGTAGATGGTAAGTTTAAAGGACATGAAAAAAAGTGACCACCTCTATGAAGGCAAAGGAAGGGATTTTAGAGATGAAGAATCAGATCCAGAAGCTAGAGGTCACACAGGAATATGGTGACAAACTGACTCAAAATTTGGCCTCTTCATAGTGCTAGTTACTTGAAGGAAGATTTGTAATAGAAAGTAAAAGTGATGTGGGCAAAAGTTACATTATATCTAGGAAAAGTTGTGAGATAGAGGACCTCATACTGTTAAGAAGTATTTCTTGATGATTTTGTAATTGTTCTACTTGCAAAAGAGATTAAGGGTACTGAGAATGTCATAGGGTTGAGGGCTTTGCTTAATACTGTGTCAGCGACATGGACTAGGATATATAGTATCTGATGCATATAATGATGTTAATCATATGTTAGAGAATTTGTTTTTTGTTTCTCTTTCTTTTTTTTTTTTTTTACAGATATCACCATGTAGCCGTGGCTGGCTTTAAACTCATAGAAATCTGCCTTCTAAGTGCGGGATAAAAGATGTTGACTACTATGGCTGGCATGTTACAGCAGTCTTAGGATTTGTCTAAATCCTTGGTTGTACTAGAGAAGGCACAGAATTTGGAAAGCTTTTTTGTTTGCTATCTAAACTCTTGTTGCCACAGTAACACATTAATTAAAATGGATTTTGAGTTCTGATATATAGAGAAATGGTAGGCCTGAGAGGGTGAAATGTGAATGAGGATGCTGTAGTGATAGAAACATTTTTTGTGGTGGTGTGTAATCATCTATTCTATATTTTTCATGTGTCAGGTACTGTTACTAAGGGCTAGGAAAACAAATTCATTCATTTGTTCATTCAACAAATTCTTGTTTGGGATACAGTCCCATGAGATAACAGTAGAAAGAAGTTGTATAGAGTTCTCATTGTGATTATGAGAGAAAGAGACAGTTTAGTTTAGAGGGAGAATGAAAATATATAAAAACACAGTGATATTATTTCTCTGTATCTCTCTCAATCTCTCCTTGTGTTGCAAATATACATGTGTAGTTGGGCATGTATCTCTGCAGGGGTCTATGAATTAAATGCCTGAAACAGAACTTAGCCATTTTGCCCTGAAGACCTGTTTTTGTACCCATGTGCCTTGTATCAATCCAGAGGATGACTTTGGTGTTGTCCTCTATTCTTTCTGCTCCTTCACCTCCTAAATTTAGTCAGTCATTAAGATGACAATATACTTCCCCTCCGTTGTCTCCATTGCCACATCATCACCAACCTTAGCTCAACTCCTAAGCACTCATCAATTTTTTTTTTAAGTCTGTTGCTTTAAAAGTTGATCTTTTCTTGCCCATTCCTAGAATGATCTTTCTAAAAATACAAATGTGATCATGGAACTACACTGCTTAAAACTTTGGCTCTTTGTATCCTGTAGGACAACATCCAAATTTCTTAATATGGCCTCAGCTCACCTCTTTATGCCTCCTTTGCTGCCACTCCTCCTCTGTGTTCTAGCTTGAATAAATTGCTCACAGTTCTCCAACAAACATGCTACTTTTTTAGCCTTGAAATCTTTGCAAAGGCTGCTTCCTCTTGTAGGAACTTCTTTTCTTCTCTGTCCAGTGAACTTCTCTTACCCTTTAGGATCAGTTTCACCCAGTCTTTGACATCCTCTTTGTAACACTCAAACAACAGGGGTAGAGATAACCATGTGTGACATTGAGGAGTTCACTGTTGAAAAGGCAGTCACTGTGTTCCAGAAGTTCACTTTGAGCCTTATGAGGATTCACTCAGATTGAAGAGATGCCTGTAAGAGGCCAAGGTGGGATGTATCCTGATAGTTCTTTTGTTTGAGACATGGAAAAGCAGGGAGGGTATGTGTCACTTTAGCTCCAGATACGTAGGCTGTTAGGAGTCTCGGCCAGGAGTCCTGGCCCCCTTTCAATGTTATGGGCAATAGCCTTATGCCAATAATTATCTTGCTTAGGAAGAGGTCTGATTTTGGAAGGTCATTTGGGTGCTCCTTGCCTGTTAAAGTTGTATATATACATATATATGAAGGGATATATATCTATATATGTAACTATATTAAATATAATAATGTTAATAGATATAATATTAAATAAAATAAATATTAACCCTATTAAATATTAATTATAAATACATTAAATATTAATGTATAATATATATCTCCATATATATATACATTGTGTGTGTGTGTGTGTGTGTGTGTGTGTGTGTGTGTGTATGTATGTATGTATCCCTTCCTGCTTCCTGCTTCTTTCTCTTTGCCTCTCCCAGGGCAAAGGTTCTTAGAGGCTGAAGCCGAGCCACTTCCTGTCTCTGCTGTTTTGAGATTGGTTGACAGTTTTTGCAGTGTGGGTCTGTAAAGCTGTATTGTGTTTTGGACCCTAAGGTAAGTGGCTGATCCTGGCCTTGTATAGATTGGAGAAATCAACTGCTTCTGTTACTTCGTGGTTGTGCCTGCAGATAAATCAGGGAAGAGGGAGGAATTTATCCTTCTCTTTGGCCTTTGTTGTGGGACAAAGGGCATCATAACTATATGACAGTTCTGCACTGTTTGCCTTGTTTTGAACTTTGCCAGGAGTTTAAGTAGGTGGCATTAATACCAAAGAATGGCCTCTTATTTTTATTTTTATGTTTCAGCATGTGAACAGGACCTACATTAAGTGTTTAGTGCTGACTTCTGAGATACTGATTCCAGGCCAGGGCCCGCAGGGGACAGTGAGAAAGGCCTGGAGGTCAGTCTTACATCTGTAGTTGCTTTGTGGCTGTTAAGCAGGGGAGCAAGAGTTGTTACCCCAGATATACATAGGGAGATAGGAGGAGTTTGTTGGTCTTCCAGTACCTGGAGGGGTTTGTTTTGGACACATTAAGGGCTTCTTTTGCTGAGCTGTCTGAGGCTTGAGTGTGAGGGACACACATTAGAGCAGGTTAGATCTCTTATCTCAGAGATGTGAGTACCCTAGTCAAACAGGATCAGAAAGGAAAAGAGCAAAGAAACAGTTTACAGAGTGTTTGCTTTATGCTCAGGGTGCTGTTTTCTCACTTAACTCTTAAACAGAATAGTTACTAAGGCTCCTATTTGTGATTTATTTACGATCACATAGCTAAAAAACGGTGCACTGATGTTTAGACTTTGGTTTGAGCAATTTGAGAGCTCAGGCCTTACCTACTATTTGTGTTAATCTTTTCCAAGCATAAGGTTTCTATTTGTTTTCAGTCTACAACATGAGCTATGTTGTAGAAAGTACTCTGTAAAGAGTGATATTCTTGTATCAGTCAAGCTTCTTGGCAGGTGGCAGGTGGCAGATGGCTCAGGCTGGGTTTCACAAGAATTTAATTAATAATGGGACTATATTTACAAAGGTATAGGCGGTGATTAAAGAAACCAACAGAGGCTAGTATAGTATAGTATCAAAAGGCTAATAGTAGTAAGGCTAGTATCATGTAACTGTGGGCTTGGCATTTCTCAGCCTGTGCCTACTTGGGACCTCAAATCCTTGGGACATTGGGTTAGTGCTTTTTGCAGTGCACCCTTTTGGTGCATAGCCACTAATGTGTGCAGTTCTTAGTTGTTGTATAGGACGCTGTGTCTGAAAGAGTGAGCATCTATTCTGTGGCCTTTCTACCTCTCATTTCTGCTTTCTCCCTTACTTTTACTCTCCTGAGGGAGGGGGGCAGGGTGATATGGGGGTGTGAGGTGGTAGAGACTTCCCCCTGTCTTTGCTGTATTTATTTGAGGTGGCACTCATCCTGTACCACTGTTTTACTTCCCTCTCAAAAAGGTGGTATATGCCCTTTTTTTCTCAGATGTCTTAGTCCTTATTTTTGTCTGTTATTCTTAACTTATTCATATTAACTTCTTTTCTCCAGACTTACTTTCTCACTTGACAAACATCCTTGAGGCTTTCACCTAAAACCCAAACAAAAGATCCCTCCCCCCCTTTTGACACAGCCTCTTATTCTGTACATAGGCTGTCCTGGAACTCACTGTGATTTCCCTGCTTCAGCCTCCCAGGTGCTGGGAATGCAGGCCTGGGCCAGCATTCAGTACAGAACCTTATGAACTCTTGACTGCCCTATTTTTGTCCTGAATTTTTGTTAAAGTATATTTTATACTTTCTTGACTCTCAGTCATTCTTTAATTATTTTTCTAAATTTATATAAAAAATCCAATAAAACCAGTAGACAGTTTTCCATCTTCATACTTCTTACTCTTTCTGTGAGATTATGGGCAATCTCCAGTTTCTTGAAACATCTATGCCTTGGTTTCTAGATGATTATTTCTTGGATTTCTCCTTTAATTTCTGACTGCCTTCACTGTCTTTAGTGTGTGTGTGTTGCTGGGGTTGCAGGGGCAGGGCAGTGTCTCAGTATGTATCCCTGGCTGGTCTGGAGCTCTCCATGTAGATAGTTCCAGCTGTCTTTGAATTCATAGACCTCTGTCTCCTTAGTGCTAGGATTAAAGGCATACACTGCCATGCCTAACATTTTTGTCTTGTTTCTCTTTCTTCTTCTTTTTTTTAAGATTTATTTATTTATTATTATTTTTACATTATTCTGCTTGCGTGTATGCCTGTATGCCAGAAGAGGACATGAGATCTCATTAGAAATGGTTGTGAGCCACCATGTGGTTGCTCGGAATTGAATTCAGGACCTTGAAAGAACAGCCAGTGCTCTTAACCTCAGAGCCATCTCTTCATTTTTTGAGATTATTTTGTTATATAACTCAAGCTGGCCTCAAACTGGCAGTCTTCCTGCCTCATCTTCTCAAGTGTTGGGATTATAGGCATGCACTGTTACATCTCGTTAAATCCTTGTTAATTAATTCTCTTTTCTCTTAGTTAAGGTTTTTGTTGCTGTGAAGAGATGCCATGACCACGGCAGTTCTTATAAAGGAACACATTTAATTGGGTCTGGCTTACAGGTTCAGGGGTTTAGTTCAGTATCCATCATCAGTGGTACACAGGCAGATAAGGAGCTGAGAGATCTACATCTGGATCTGCAGGCAGCAAGAAGAGAGAGAAAGACACTGGGCTTGGCTTGAGCATTGGGAATCTTAAAGCCCACTCCCAGTGACATCCTTCCTTCAACAAAGACACACCTTATAGTGTCATTCCCCATGAACCTATGGGGGCCATTTTTATTCAAACCACCACACTTTGCTTTTTTAAATTATGGTGCTTTTTAGGATTTTTGCCGTTAGTGTCTTTCATAATAACATTCACGACTTCATTGATTGCTTATAGACTGTCAATTTCTGAATTTATGGCTCTAGTTTAATATTTCACTTTTGAACCTAAGTATGCTATTTTTTTAATTTTTTTTTTTTTTTTTCTGCCAGCCTCATAGGCCAGGGTTGGCTTTAAATTCATTTTGTAGTTGAAGATGATCTAGGACTTCTTCCCTGTCTTTCTCCACCTCTCAAGTCTAGGATTGTTGATTTGCACTATCATTTTTGGTTTCTGTGGTGCTGGGGATTGAACACAGGGCTTTGTGTGTGTTAGACAAGTACTCTACCAATGGGGCTACATTCCTAGTCCATTTTCTGGATATTACAAGTATTCTTTATCTCAAATTTTAACCTGCTTAAAACTTGTCTGTCTGTCTCTTCTTTAAGTCCTCTTCCATCTTATTCTTTGCCCTCTGAGGTAGTTTCTTACTATTTTAGTCTGGGCTAATTGGGGATCTGCTGTGTAGCTCAGGCTGGTCTTGAACTGGTCTTCCTGCTTTCGTTTGAGTGCTGGCATTTCAAATGTGTACAGTACCTGATCTCATCATCTTTTGAGAAGCACAACTCCCCTGTGTGTTATACATCAATGGTGTTCCCAAGTTTCCTGTGTTAGTTGTATTAATCCCCTTTCTTGCTTTCCTCTGTATGTTTCAGGTCTCTTTGTTTTCACCTTTTGATTTAAATCCAGAGGCAAACTATCTTCAGTTGTATCCTAGACCAGCTATTTACCAGCTGGCTAATTTGAGGCAGTTTGTCTAGCCTCTCTGGGTTTTGATTTTCTCATTTGTAAAATGAAAATGCTAATTAGTGCTTTGAGCAGAGCTTGGTTTGTATGTAGTAAGTGTTGCATATGTACACATGCATATATGCATTAATAACACATGCTGTTATTAATTATATTGAGCCAGTGTTTCACTGACATTTTTGAATACTGTGTAGGCACTGAGTTTTCAAAGAATGAATGATATGACTACCTGCAGAAAGAGAAGAGACACAGTATAAATAATTTGCAAATACATAGATATGAATATTTAATGCATAGGACATGTTTAGATAGAGGTGAATCTAAGATTTAGCTTTTTCTTGCTGTTTTTGTTACCTTAGTTTATTCCATTACTTTTTTCTTTTTATTTCTTTTTATTTTTTACAATTATATATTTTATATTCTGATTGTAGCCCTTTCCCTCATCTCCTCCTCCTACCCCACCCTTCCTCTTTCTTCATCCCATCCCACCTTCTCTCCCTCTTCCTCCCAATCCCCTTCCCCTAGTCCACAGAAAGGGGGAGTCTTCCTCCCCTGCCATCTGACCCTAGCTTATCAAGTCTCACCAGGATTGCTTGTATCCTCTCCCCTTGTGGCCTGGCAAGGCTGCATCACCAGGAGGATGTGATCAAAGAGCAGGCAAGTGAGTTCATGTCAGAGACAGCAGAAACATGGCTGGACCACATAATTCCTGCAAAGAGTTTTTGCTTTTTAGAGACAACACTGATGAGGAGGTGTTAGGTATAATGGAGAAGGAACTGTGGGTTATGGCCTGGGCCAGTAGCTAGTTTGGTGCATGTTTCATTTATTCATTTATTGAGCAGGTAGTTATCAAGCATTCAACACATAGATACTATTCTAGCCACTAAGGATACAAAAGGAAATGAGATTGGTAGGTCTTGCCCTCAAAGAGCTAATTTCTTTGTGGAGAAGATAGCTAGATAGATAAGATAGATTTTTAGATAATAGGAACTATTAAGAAGGGATTAAAAACTAGAAAGTGAACATAGGAAGATAAGCTATTTAGATGAAATTGTGAAGTAGGGAGGGATGGTCTGAGAAGATGACATTTAACTAGAACTCTGAACAAGGGGAATGGCTGAAGAACATTATAGGCACAGGGAATAGAAACTACTTAAGCCCTATGTGACTAAAGTATCAGTGAGGAGACTTGACAGAGCTTATAGAGATTGCATTGTATAGGCCTTTATAGAATAAGGTAAAGAATTAGGACTTCCTAGTGTTATTAGGAAGCCATTGAGAAGAGATGTAGTAAAATCTAGGATTAAAAGTAATATGGTTGCTGAATGGGGAATAAACTCCCATGATGGTGGGGCTGGAACTGTAAGTCAGGCATGGTGGCATGCATCTCTAATCACAGCACTGGCAATGGTGAGGCAGTGAAGCAAGATGAATTTGAGACCAGCTGGGTTACATAGTGAGGCCAAAGCTAGCCTGTTTAGTATATCGAGAACCTGTCTCAAGGAAAGCTATTTAGAAGCTATTATAACAGACAACTTTATTTCTGTACTTTTTTTTTCATCCCTGTTATTTTCTTTTTAAGATAGTCTTTAACTATGTAGCCCAAGCTGGTTTTGAACTCATATTCCCCTGGAATGACAAGATTTGCTGATGAATTAGATAATGGAAGGTAAAGGATAAACTAGGACCATGCCCAGGCTTTTGATCTAAGCATGTAGCTGAATGTTGGTGACATTTACTAAGAAAACGCTGAGAAAGCTACAGGTTTGGTGGTAGAAATTATGCATTGTATTTTGGGCATGTAAGCTTCATGTAGTGGCTGTGTGGAGTTCTGTAATTTGTATAATTTTCATTAGAGTGCTTCTGAGTTATTCTTTTAGGAAAGTTGAGAGATGTAAACTTCTGTTATCCTTTTTGTCTCTTCTTGAATTAGATTTGCAACTCTGGACTGGGGGTTGAACTCTGGGCTTGCTACTCCAGTTTGGATCTGTGGCTCCATGGCCAGCTACTGGAGCCTACAGACCGGATGAAGCAAATTGGAAACAGAAGTGGAGAAAGCCTCCAGCTGGTACATTCTCAGTGTAGTCCTCTGTCTGCTGGCCCTGTCCAGCCTGCCTCATGGAGAAGATGAACTGGTTGAGCAGGCTGGCCTCCCGGGTCCCTGGGCACCGTGTACCTCAAGGGGCCAGTCTGCAGACTCCTGTCATGGCTGACCCTGAGACATGCCTCATGGTCTTCAAAAATCATTGGTCCCAGGTAGGAGACTTCATGACAAAGTACCTAGACTGTTGCTTTCCCCAGTAGCTCTAAGCTTCTGAGTTCTGTATTCTTATCACCCCATTCAGTAACCTTATCATAGATTCTTCCTATTTTCTGTCCTTCGCCTCAGGTGGTTCGAATCTTGGAGCGGCAAGGCCCTCGGGCAGCTGCTGGAGGTGCAGATGATCTCAGTGCTGTGAGAAACCACACGTACCAAATGCTAACATTGCTGGCAGAGGATCGGGCAGTCCCTTCGGCTCCCTTAGGCCCTGGGCCCCTGTTAGAGTTTGCTCTTCGTGAGGATCTGTTGAGCAGAGTGTTGACCTGGCAGCTGCAATGGGATGAACTTGGGGATGGGGTTGAGGAGCGTCGGGCTGAGCAGCTGAAACTATTTGAGATGCTAGTGAGTGAAGCTCGCCAGCCTCTGTTGAGGCACGGGCCAGTTCGTGAGGCTCTACTTGCCCTGCTGGACGCCTGTGGGCGCCCGGTGCCTAGTAGCCCAGCACTGGATGAAGGCCTGGTGCTACTTCTCAGCCAACTATGTGTGTGTGTTGCTCGGGAGCCTTCATTGCTTGAGTTCTTCTTGCAGCCACCTCCTGAGCCTGGAGCTGCTCCACGTCTTCTCCTGTTTTCTCGCCTTGTCCCTTTTGTCCATCGAGAAGGCACCTTGGGCCAGCAGGCTCGTGATGCTCTACTTCTGCTCATGGCTTTGTCAGATGGGAGCCCCACCGTGGGCCGCTACATCGCAGACCACTCTTACTTCTGCCCGGTTAGCAAACCCTAGGATGGGGGTAGGGTGTGGCATGTGAACATCGGAGAGCATCTTCTTATCCAGGAAATGTGGATAGGCTAGTATTGGGGAAAGCCTTTTATTTCGGATTTGAAAGCAACTCCTTGGTGTTGGAATGGTGGTGAAATATGGGCATAACTAGATAGGGCAGCTGTTGCAGGTCAAGTCCCAGTACATGGCAACCTGATGTGTATTTTTACCTGTATTCCCATCAAATCTATGATTAGTTAGCTCCCAAAGCTCCCTCATTTTATTATCTGAGCCTTTGGTAACCCTTCTTAGGTGCTGGCCACAGGGCTGAGTGCCCTATACTCCTCACTGCCCCGAAAGATTGAGGTTCCAGGGGATGATTGGCACTGCTTGCGAAGGGAAGACTGGGTCGGAGTACCAGCCCTTGCACTCTTCATGAGCTCTCTGGAGTTCTGCAATGCAGTCATACAGGTAGGGATAGGATTTCTAAGGATTGTGACACTTGGTGCTTCTGGGAAATTGGGTTAAGAGGGTCCATTTCCTGGAGTTCTCCTATTGAACTTGTGGTTATAAAACCCTATCTTTATTATAGTGTTCTGTTCTCTTCCAGGCAGTCGACCCTTGATAATCTCTCCTCTCTTGTTCTATCTAGGTAGCTCACCCCTTGGTGCAGAAGCAGCTGGTTGATTATATTCATAATGGTTTCCTGGTGCCTGTCATGGGTCCTGCCCTGCACAAAGTAAGGAAGACAGGTGGCTAGGTATAGGAAGACCTGGACTAGAGTGAAAGGACTAATGTGGGAGGCCGTGGTTGGTGTTCCTCTCCCCTTTTCCCTTTCTGATATTTCTTGTTCCCTAGAACTCAGGGAACATGAATCATTGTATGAGCAAGGAAACCCTAAGTCTCCAAACGTTCCCTTCCCTTCATGCAGACCTCTGTGGAGGAGATGATTGCTAGTACCGCCTATCTGGAACTTTTCCTGCGGAGCATCTCAGAGCCTGCCTTGCTCCGTACTTTCCTGCGATTCCTGCTGTTGCATCGGCATGATACCCACACCATCCTTGACACCCTCGTTGCCCGCATTGGCAGCAACTCCCGGGTATGGCTCTTAAACTCTGTCCTGGCTTACTGCCTGGGTAAGCCATCTTTCTCTGGTCTCTGTTGTCAAAGGGTGTTCCTGCTTTTCTCTGGAGTTTGACTCTGGCAGCCACTTCAAGGTGGCACTTTGTAGCACTGAACTTTGAGCCATTTTGAGTAAAGAGTTTACTGTGTGCATCTGTAGCACAGTTATCCTCCAGGGCTCTAGGCTTTGCCATGGTGCAGTGCTTGTAAATGTAGCATTGCTCCATAGTTCCCATAAGCTGTTATCATGCCTTCAGTTGCTGTGGTGCTGTAAGAGTTTTGGGTTTTGTGTTTGGCTAATAAATGGTCTAGCTGTTTCTTGTAGGCTTGCTGTCTCTCCTCTTTGGATTGGCTGCATTTGAACTGTCTATAGTCAGGGCACACAAATCCACCTGGCTGCCACTCAGATTCCCTCTGCTGCACATTTGTATAATAGTGACATTCTGTCGGGTCATTGGTAGTTACTGTTGCTGGTGTATAAGAGCTTATTTTATGAAGAATATTTGTAGCAAATTAAGTTACTAAAAATAGTTGAAGACTGAAGTTGCTGTTTGTACCAAAAAAACTATTTTTAGAAAAGAATGGATTGACTGAAGAAGACATCTCAGAGGAGGTGACGTTATGCACAAGATAATGGAGATTTTGAATATTAAGTGAAAACAGTTTAGGCAAAGGGAGCATCATGGAAGGGCATGTAATAGGGAATGAGTATAATGTATTTTAGGAATGAAAGACCATTGTAATTAGAGATGAACTGAGTAAGAGGGAGAAGGAGTGAGAGGAGTGAGGGTTGAGAAGATCCTAATCATGCATTATGGAGAGGAGAGAAAGGAGAAGTGGATATCTTTCTGTTATCAAACACTTAATTTTATAAAGGTACAAAACATCCTTATTTTGAAGGTAGGACATGCCATGGTCTTAGGTTTATTTGACCTCATGAGTTGCCCTGTCAGTTAATTCCCTTTTTGGGGTTCATTCCCTCATCTTCTTTGTGTTAATCTGCCATTCTTTCATAATAACATTATTATTTTATTGTTTTTTTAAAATTATTGTTTTTAGTCTTTAGCACTTGCTTCTATTAGTCTCCAAGGGTTTTTCGGAGCTTTTAATGTTCTTAGGTTGCTACTTTCTGGTTTCTGGTTCTTGCAGGAACCAGGTCTCTTCTGATTGTAGGCTACTCATGTTAAACATGTTAGATGTTTTTATTTCCATCTTTTGGTCCTTTTAAGGTGGTTTATTGGCCTGGCTTTTGTGCCTTTAAGTGAACCACTATGGCTGTCTTGTCTGTGGACCTGACTATCTGTGTTAGTTTCTATTTGCTGTCAAAACAAATTACCACAAACTAGTGACTTAAAACATGTCAAGGACCATTTGTTAAGGATCATCTCCAGCCTGATTGCCTTTTTTTTTTTTTTTTAATCTTCAGAACCAGCAATGATGGGACACACCCCTGCTATATTTTGAGCTCCCTTTTCAATTTTTTTTTCTTTACAAATTTTTCTTATAAATAGTGCTGGGAGCCAAACCCAGGGCCTTATATGTGCTAGGCAAGCAATCTGCCACTAAGCTACATTCCCAAGTCTTCTTTCTTTTTCTTTAAGACAGTCTCACAGTGTATTCTAGACCATGATGCTGTATATCATAACCAGAGCCTCATGAATACTAAATAAATTCTTATCACTGAGGTATGCCTATACCATAACCCCCACAGGCCCATAATATTAATCACAGCTGTAAAGTCTCTTCAGGACTTTAAAGTAAAATGTTTATAGGTTCTGGCAATCAGGTCTTTGAAGAACGACTTTCCCACTCACCCTACTATTGTTGAGTGAATCGGAATTCTTATTGCTAGTTAAAGTGGTCATTTAGGATATCCATGTTGCCCCAAGTGTGAACTGTTTCCTACTATTGATGTGCTTAATTCTTTAATAGGCATTTAGTAAGCAATGCTAAGACTATACAAGACCAAGATGTCTAATATGAGATGTCTGTTATGCTGTAGGAATTCAGAGCAATGAGGGTTAGCATATTGCACGTCTGTTATTTTTGTCTAGCTAGAAGTGAATAAGGCTTCTTCCGTTTCTAAAACAAAAGGTTTTTCTGCTCTTGACCTACCCACTTTCTTTTTCCTTTTCCTATCAGTTGCCCCGAGCTCTTTATCCCACATCCTGAGATACACTGGGGTGGAGAGGTGACTCAGACTCCATACTCATGATTCCACCTACTTCCCAATTGGGACTCTTCCAGGTTTCCTCTGATTCCTTATTGGTAGTCATTCAAAACTGTGTGACTATAGTCTCTTTTGGCTGTCATAGCTGTAGTTTCCTGTGAATCATTTATTTTTTATAGTCTTTCTTAGTTTCTGTTTTCTTAGAGTCTCATTAGAGCACGGATGGAATCAATATGTTGGCAGATAGTCTTCAGTTATGTATATGCTCTATGGAATTCCAGTGGATCTGACACATTATTTTCTATCTGTGATAGTGAAGTCTTGTTTGCAAAGATTATGTGTTTATCTAGTTAATACTTACATACTGATTATGTGCTAGACTTTGGCACATAGGCTATTTATTCTAGAAGTGGCTGGTTGGGACTGGGGCTGGGGGGAATGGAGTTTTCATTGGTTAATAGTTTGGAGGGTAGAGGGCTCTTATGGTGACCCCCTCCCTCACCTCCCCCCTCAGCTCTGCATGGTCTCTCTGAGTCTCTTCAGGACCCTTCTGAACCTCAGCTGTGAGGATGTTCTGCTGCAGCTGGTTCTCAGGTATCTGTGGGGGCAGGGCTGAGGGATGGTTGACCCTTAGGGCCTAGTATTTTGTTGGGGTGATGGGCTGTATTGGGGTTGCTTATGAGTGCCTCTTGGAACCTGGTTTAGCAATTTAGTTTGCTTGGCCTGTTCTTCTAGGTGCTTTCTTTCCTGATCACCCTATGTCCTCTTTTTGCTATGTCCTAGGTACCTTGTCCCATGTAACCATGTGATGCTGAGCCAGAAGCCAGCTGTGCGTGATGTGGATCTTTATGGACGAGCAGCTGACAAGTTTCTCTCCCTAATCCCACGCTGCTGTCGGCATCATGCCCCCAGCCCACCTCGTTCAGAGCATGCCTCATGGGCACGAGGTGGGCCTAGCCGAGAGTCAGGGAGAAGGGAAGACATCATGGGTATGGCCTGAGTTCTGGGGGAGCCTAGAGAGAAAATCAGGGCTTGGGTGCGGGGAGGAAGGTGACAATGAGTGGAATACTTTCTCTAGGGAGATTGATGGGTGGTCTTGCAGAGAGAATCTTTAGCCTTCCCAGAGAAATTAGGGTAAACTTCTGGGAAGAAATAGTCCTCCTCTTCTTTATTTCAGTTGTGTCTTCTGTTTGCATTATTTTCAGTGAAGGAGGTGGTGAGGGGGTGATGAATTAGGATAAATTAGTCTATAGATTGAAAAGTCAGCTATCATCTCTACCTCCTCACTGTAGTCTCTTTTAGTCTCTAGATCACTTGTTTCTCCATGATCTGTCATCTTGATTTTGGTTATATTTTTTTTCTGCTCTAAAGGTCCTGGAAGTCCAAGTGTTGATTCTTCTTCAGTGGTAACAGTGCCTCGTCCCTCCACACCATCTCGTCTGGCTCTGTTTCTCCGGCAGCAGAGCCTAGGCGGCTCTGAGTCCCCAGGTCCAGCTCCTCGCTCCCCAGGGCTCACTGTATCCCCGAGCTCCAGCCCTGGCCGAAGGCCCAGCCCTGCAGAGGAGCCTGGTGAGCTAGAAGACAATTACCTGGAGTATCTGCGTGAGGCACGCCGTGGTGTAGATCGCTGTGTCCGAGCCTGCCGAACCTGGTCTGCCCCATATGATGGCGAGCGGCCCCCTCCTGAGCCTAACCCTCTCGGCTCCCGGACTAAGAAACGCAGCCTGCTGCCTGAGGAAGATAGGGACAATGTGGGGGAAGGGGAGGAGGAAAACCTAGGAAGTCGGGGCCTAGCTGTGGGTGTAGGGGATACCCCTGGTCACCTACCCCCACCCCAGCTCAATGGGGTACCAGGGCCATGGCCAGAGGGAGCCAAGAAGGTTCGTCTGGTGCCACGGCTGGTGTCACAGGAAAGAGTCAGGGAATTGTTAGAGGGTACCTCGGAGGGCATGGCAGGACTAGAGAGCTTTGGGCAAGAGCTCCGGGAGCTGGAGGTGGCACTGAGCAATGGTGGAGCTAGTTCAGAGCCTCCCTTAGAGCCTCCACTACCTCCAGAGGAGGAGGAGGCCTATGAGAGCTTCACCTGCCCTCCTGAGCCCCCTGGCCCCTTCCTCAGCAGCCCTTTGCGGACTCGCCACCAGCTGCCAAGCCAGCCCTTCACTGGTAAGTTATTTAACCTAAGCCTTCTCCTCTGTGTACTTTTGCATGTTCTCGACATGTTTGTGCTGATTTCTAAGACTTTTTTGCTATGTCATTTCTGTGTATTTGCCTAGTCCTCATCCATTTTGCTTGAGTCCCTTCTTCATACATACTGTGTCATACCATGCCCTCATGTTTGTTGATATGTCTTTCCATGCTTCTGCTGGTTTGAATATTGACTTATGTCTGAGCCTTGTGTATCCTTATATGCATGTTCCTCCTTTTCCCCTAGTCTGGCCATTTCCTGGGGTTTGTAAATAGGATGCTTTGTGCTTGGGGAAAAAAAATACATCTGAATCATATGGATGATGTTTGTATTGTCCCGAATGAAAGACACATGTGCACCTCTGTCTTGTGCCATTCCCACCAGTCTGTGTATTGGGTTTTGAGTCTTCTGGTAGGTCTCTGATGACCCTGGAATCAGCTCTTTTGGTGTTTTTCCTCCTGCTCAGCAGCTTCCTGTCTCTTCAAAGGAGGGCCTGATTTCAGTTCTCCCATCTACTATCTTTACCTTATACCTTGGTTGTCCAATATAGTTATTTTGAGGAGTAATAATTAATAAGGATTTGGGGGTGAGTGATCTTCCTCTTTGAGGACAAGTGACAAGCATCATTCTGAGTGTACCTGGTAGGCCCTGTTAGGTTGTTATTCTTGGAGCTAGACCCAACCTGAGATTTTGGGCTGGCTCTTTGTTTTGTTTTTGAGCAAGACAAGCCTTATCAGGCCCTAATGTACATCTCAGCATGGGAAAACAAAACAAAACAAAACAAAATTAATCTTTGGGAATCAGTGCAGTGGCTAAGGTTAAGGCCTTAGCCTTTGGATTAAGCACCCCTTAAGTTAGCATTTTGCCTACCATTGGTGCATGAAAATCATTTAATAGAATATTGGCACATTGTGAAAAACTCAACAAATGGTAACTTTTCACTGGGATTATCATTAGTGGGTCATGGGAGACGTAAGTCGACTAAGGTACCACCTGTCTTAGTTGTCAGCAGTCAGGTTTCTTGGTAAGCTTGGGACTATCTTGCTCTAGCACTGGGGCTTCTGTCTGGAGCGATATTCCTTCTCTTGCAGGCTGTAGAAAACGATCTTCCTATTTATGTAGCCTCTGCTCCACTCCTTTCCTCTAGGAGGTGATTTTACCACAGTCTTAAAGTATTAATTGATTCTTCTTTTCTTTTTGGTAAAGTTATTAATGTGCTTTGCATTATCCCTTACAAGATACTACCAGGGAATGAAAAGAAGGATAAAGTTAGAGATTTTGTTTACTCTTAAGTTAGTATTAAGTATTACTTTAGAGCTAAGATTATTTGTTATGGACACCTCAAACAGATGGTAGTACAAAATCTGTTTCAGGATTCATCACCTCTTGTTCATCATTCTTCTATCGTAGTTGTTAGTATAGTTTCATATAATATTCTCTTTTCTCCAAAAATCCATCAGAAATACTGTGATGGCTTTAGTGGTCTAGTGTCATGTATGTCTTAAAGTATTTCTCTCAGGACAGAATGCTGATCCCTTGTCATCCTGAGTCACTTTTCTGTGCCTCAAACTAAGCTATTCTTTTCCTTGATTCCTAGTTTACCTTGATTTCCCCGCTCCTGAAGGTCAGAGCCTGTATCCTCTCTGTTCCCCTAAAGCCTTAATACTTGCTTTGAAGTTCATAGTTTCTTTTTCTTTGTTACATCTCTTTTTTAACCTTCTTTGTGACCAGTTTCATGCAACTCTGTCTTACATGGAACCTGATTCTGTGTTTTGGCTGTGTATTCTGTTGTGTTCTTGAGTGAAGCTTCTTAAAAACTGAGAAATACAATATAGGTTATGATTATAGTTGAATGAAAAATCTACCAGATCTTGTACTTGATATTTGACATTGATATCTCATTGGTCCTTTTAATTATTTTATGAGGTAGGTATATTTATTTTACCACAAATAGGAAACTAAATGTTGGTGAGCTTTCAGCTTATCTAGTCACAGGGCACATCTGAAATCTGAGATTAGATCTTTGACTCTAGAGCCCAAGATCTGATTCATCAGTCGTAGTGTTTATAATGCTGGCATCTGGATTACTTTGTCTAGAGAAAGTGGTCACAGGTCATTCGACACACTCAGATACATATAATTTTTCTCTAGGGGGTCTCTTGTTTGGGGGAGGAATGCGTGCAATGTGCATTGTGTTCAGGCCTTGTATCCTGTGCCCATCCCCTTCCCAGGCCCCTTCATGGCTGTGCTCTTTGCCAAACTCGAGAACATGCTGCAGAACTCCGTCTATGTCAACTTCCTGCTGACGGGGCTGGTGGCCCAGCTGGCCTGTCACCCCCAGCCCTTGCTCCGCTCTTTCCTGCTCAACACCAACATGGTCTTCCAGCCCAGTGTCAAGTCCCTGCTGCAGGTGTGCGATGCATGCATGCATGGGTGCGTCCAGGCTCAGTGGTGGGCCAGGCCCACAGCTAAAGTGACCTTGGGTGGGCTGGGAACAGACACAGTGGGACCCGTGTAAATGCGGAACCACCAGAAAGGTCATAAAGTTGTGCTTCATAGGTGCTGGGCTCTGTGAAGAATAAGATCGAGAGCTTTGCGGCCTCCCAGGAGGACTTTCCTACTCTGCTATCCAAAGCCAAGAAGTACCTCATTGCCCGGGGCAAGCTGGACTGGGCTGAGGGTCCTACAGCAGGACCTGCCCCCCGCCGCTCTGATTCCCTAGGTGAGGAGAAACTGACCACCCTCCTTTATTTTCCCTTGACATCTCATTAGCCAGAGTCAGTTAAGATCCAGAAGCTGAAGGGTTGTTGAAAAGCTAGTCTTAATGTTGCTAGGCTTTAAGTCAGAGAATAGTTTTATTAAAAAAGTCTAATTGACAGTATCAACAAAAACTGCATAAGGGTCTAAGGACAACGAAGGAGAAAGAAGTTCTTGAGTTGAGATATTGTGAGAACTTAATGTGGCATGTGGCTTTGAGTAATAAGTAAAGATTAGGTTGACGTAGGACTATTCTGTTTTTTTAGTCAGGAGACATCTTGGATACTAGTTGGAATAGAGTGTTTTACAAGGCTGTGGAACAGTTGGTGATAAGGCAGGAATGATTTGGCTGAAGTAGGAGGTTCTTAGAGTAGAAGTTAGGCAGAGCAGAAGTTGGGATCTTCTAAGAAACCAGGAGAGGTTTTAATATCTGGATGTAGTAAGTAATTGCAGATGAATTGGAGCTAAGAGAAGGAATTCAGGAGGAATAGTCAGGACCAGGGAGATTTGAATTTGAATAGTGGAAAAGAAAGGATGTATATGACAGGGTAGAGATGGGAAGGATGTTTTTGCAGAATTTGGTCAGTGTTGAGGAGACAAGGAAGCATTAACCATGACAGAATTTTCTAGAAGTTGTGAAATAAGGGAGCATTAAATGTGACAGTTTAAGTTCTTGAGTTGATAGTTTAGTGCATGAGATAGAAGCCTTGGGAAGAAATTATTGATGTTGAGTTAGGGATAGTAGAACAGCAAGTCAGTGTAGGGAAAATCACAGAGGTGTTTTTCAGGTTTCTCCCGGGTGGAGATGACTAAGTTAGAAAGGATGAAAAAAGTAGGAATGACAGATTGTAGCCAGAGGAAGCAACAGATAGATACAAAGTACCTGTTGGATGTCATGAAGGTAGGTGTTGATACAGAAGCGTGTGGGGCTTTGGGAGTTTGAGAAGAGGTTGGTGAGTGAGACCCTGGTTATGAAGGACTTTGAATTCAAGGTTAATAAGTCTGTATGCTGTCTCTGTAACCAACATTAGAGGTGGTGAATAGAAACACTTATCATGATATAGGTTCCAGAAAGTTAGAGGACAGTATTCTAGATAGCACAGTTGAATCTAAGCAAATATGAAGTTGTCTGGGTATGCCCAAAGGGAGGGTGGTCTTGGTAGGTATAGGGTAGGGACTGATAAGTGATGAAGGAGTAGTGTAGGGAACTTGATCCTTGATTGCCACTGGAGTGTGAAGAAATGAAGTACTCCTGAACTGTAGTTGTATATACAGGTACTGAAGGAGAAGAGGATGTGGGTCAGCTATAGGTAGGCAGAGCAAAGTGGAAGTAGTTGACTGTGTGTGTGTGGTGTATATATATATATATATATATATATATATATATATATATATATATATATATATATATATATATATGTAGTTCTAGAGCAAAGGTTCTCAACCTGTGGGACGTGACCCGTCTGGCGATTGCATATCAGATATTCTGCATATTAGATATTTATATTACAATTCGTAACAGTGTCAAAATTACAGGTGTGGAGTAGCAATGAAATAATTTTATGTTTAGGGGTCACCACAACATGAGGAGCTGTGTTAAAGGGTTGGAGCATTAGGAAGATTGAGAACCACTGCTCTAGAGGGTGATAGGAAACACAAAGTTAGCTCATGTTATGGACGGAGGAGAGCGATCTTGGTGGTGGTAGAATAGTGGTTAAAATGAATTCCATAGGTCGAGGGGTCATGGAGATGGAAGTAGTAGTAGCTGGGAATAAAGTAGTTCAAATATTGGCTGTGAGACTAGATAGAGGGGAAAAGCTGAGCAAGCAGAATTTTGGTGTGAGAATGAGAAAAAGCAGCTCTCATCTTGTCATCTTTAGAGATGAGGCAAGAAATGGGCTTCAATTCTCGACCTTCTTCCAGAACCCCAGGGGAGAAGTTCAAGAACCTAAGGGGGTTGAGGAATCTGTTCCCCAGACTAGGGCAGGTTCCCTGACCCCAGCACCTTCTTGACACCCCTGTTTATTCCCAGTGAGGAGCCGGAGGCCATCCTTGGGGGAGTTGCTCCTGCGGCATGCACACAGTCCAACCAGGGCCCGACAGGCGGCACAGGTTCTTCAACCTGGGCGAGATGGAACAGGACTTGGACTAGGTGGGGCCTCTCCAGGGGCTTCAACTCCAGTTCTGCTCCCCCGGGGCGGGGCTTCTGAGCGCCAAGGTGAGGCTCTGCGAGTCAAGAATGCTGTCTACTGTGCAGTCATTTTCCCTGAGTTTCTCAAGGAGTTGGCTGCCATCTCCCAGGCCCATGCTGTCACCTCGCCTTTCTTGTTGGATACTTCAGAGGAGGTGTCTGTTCCTCCCGTCTCAGGCTTTGGGCCCCTCAATCCTTAATTTTCTTCCATGGACAATCAGGGCCTTCTGTGTCCTAGGTTGAAATCTAGGACACGGGCTCCTTTTTATGTTTGGAGGCAGTGGCAAATGGACTTTTTAATTTATTTCAAATGAATGTTTTATGAGAACTTGTTGCAATATGTATAAAAGGGAATTCTCTATTCTGTGCTCATTCTTCTTTGCCACCCATTATCTGTAGGGCTGTGGCCCTATGAAGGTTGTATGTAGGTGGGTCAATCATCAGGGATATTTTCTCTTTGGTGATAACACTGATGATAGGGTTTCAAGGTAGCCCCTTTACTGATAGGAGGTGAGAGGATTGATGATTACAGGGAAATGAAGACTCTTCATTTGTCTGGACCCTAGAAGGAAGAAGCACACAGGCCCAGGGTAGTTTGGGGGTGCAGCAGCTGATGTTTATTGGGGACCAGTATTTGTATGCCAGATCTTAGGGGCCTTGCCCCCTGCATCTCTTGTCTCAGCTTCATTCGTCGCTGTCGAACTCCGAGGACAGACCCTGCAGCAGGGGCAGGGACATGGAGTGCCGGTCGGGGTCCCCGGGGCCCCCACCCTGGGCTCCTGGTGGGGGGTTGCGGGGGCTGAAGAGCCAGTTCTCTGCTAGGGTTGGGGATAGTCACAGCTTGACTCATGCCCTGGTCTTCCTCCCTAGTCCCTCCCTCTGATTCTCCGTTACCCACCCTCCCCCTCCCGCTACCAGGGCCATGCTTCCACCTCACCCTCCCTGGGCTCCCTCAGTCCTCTATGAGGGTCTTGTACAAATTCTGGGCTGCTGAACCCATTCCTGGGTTATATTCCCTGCACCCTCTCTCTCCAATGGCCTTTCGCATCCCTCGTCTTCATTTCCTTTAGCAGTACCTGAAAGCATATAGGGGCCCCTCCTGAAGGGGTTCCGAGCCTTATAGGAGAATCTGGTGGGTCTGCTTTCTGGCCCTTCTTGGGGAGGTGGTGTAGGGGGGTCTGTGACGGGTGGAGATACATTGTCAGCAGCTTCAGGGGTGTCAGCAGGTACTGATGTGGGAGCCAGAGTTGATAAGATGCTAAGGCTAGGTCTAACCCAGGTGGCTCCTTGGGGCAATGGATCTTTGGTCAGAGACTTCTGTGGTCCCAGCACACCCTTGGGCTGCAGTGAAAACTTGAGGCAGGAGAAAGCAATAGGTAGTGACCGCTGTAACCGGAGCAGCTGGGGCTCACGGGCTGTAGGCAGTAGCCCTAGCTGCAGCCAGGTGCAGGAGAAGACCTGGTAGATGACGTAGATGCTGTGGGTGCTCCGGAGCCAGGGAAGATTCTGCTGTAGGCTCACCTGCCCTGGCGGTAGCAGCAGGAAGGCAACCTTCTTGCGCAGACCTCCCATATGTAGGCGGATCCGGCAGGGCTGACCATCCAACATTCGCATTTCTTCATAGGCTATCTCAGCTCGGCCATTTGGTGAGTATTCTCGAGTGCAGTGGGCAAAGACACCCTCAGACCCTGCCTGTTCTAGAAGATTTGGTAGCAGCCCTACTGATTTCAGTGCCCTTCGGCCCTGTCGGCCTGGCAAAGCCAGGCGGGTGTGGGCTGGACGGGACTGTTTCACTAGCACGCCCAGTAGATCATAGTAGGCTGCATCCGAGAGGAAAGGTACTGCCACTACATTGGACCCCAAACGCTCCTCGATGACCTGCAGGTGGCCAGTTTACAAGTCAGGGGCTGAGTTAAGGTCAGAGGGTAAATTGTGTTGTCTAACCTGACCTTCCCACCACTTCACTGTTCAAGTACATTGCTACAGTATACACAGATCCACACTTGTTTCCTAGTTCCCTCCTATAGTAAAACCTGAGTATCTTATTTTGTGGCAAATTATGGCAGATATTTGGATACACGAAAGGAAGAGACTGTTTTTATCCTAATGTAGCTTGGGCTATTGGAGGAGACAAAAAATGTGAACAGTAGTTAGTTAAGTAAAGTAATAGCAGGATGTGGGCAAGGACAAGTGGGCAAAGACAAGCCTTTGTCTTTGATAGAAAGATGGTCAAAGAAATTTCCTAGGTGGCAATACTTGAGCTTTGAAGGAATTAACAGATTGGGCAGTAAGGCATTCCTGGCAGAAGGGGAAAAACCCCTGAACCTTCGAGTCATGCACATTCAGGAACACATAATTTCATTGCTTGCATTTAAGGTAGGAAAAGGAAAGGCACACAGGAAACTAGGATATGGGAAGTCATCAGTGTATGCCTTTTACAAATAACTGTTTTATTCTGAGGCCAATGGGAAGCCACTTGTAGGCCCTGGGTAGGAAGACGGGACCAGGAAGGAGAGAGCTGATTTTAATAGGCCTACAGCAGGGAAGAGATAACAGCAGGGAAGAGATAACTTAAGGCTGTTGCAGTAACTGCAAGCAAACACGATTTTAGTTCTTGAACTATAAATAAGGGGAACTAGCGGAAGTCACAGAACCAGTTCTCTTCATGGATGTGGAAAGAAGGACTCTTCAAAGGTCATGGCTAGGTGATGGTTTATATGGATACTATTAGTGAAAAATGGATACACAGATGTAGGCTTATAATGTCCAATCTGATGGCAGCAGTCAGTTACCTCATGTGCTTTCTACCCTAGCTACTATAAAGATAGTTTTTCGTGTGTGTGTGTGTGTGTGTGTGTGTGTGTGTGTGTGGTGAGAGAGAGAAAGAGAAAGGTTCCTAATCTTTGTATTGTTCTAGTATCCATTTAGGGTGTCTAGTTTCTTAGGTTTGTCCTTATTTCTTGTTTTTGTCTAAGTTTTGTGTGCTTGGTGATCAGTTCTAGAGAGTACCTGGGAACACGATAAGATTGTCTTTAGTAGTTTGTAACTTAGCTGTTACAGTTTTGACCCATTCAAAGTTTCATAAAGTTTCATTGGCTGAGCCTTCTGGCTCTCAGTTATGCTTGAGAGCACGGCCACACAAAAGTTCCAAGTTCTACATTTTATCCCCCAGATCCCACATATCTGTACTCCTACACTGAATTCACCCAATGACCCCTAAAACTGCTCTGCTCTTATTTTGTAGCAAAGCATGTTTTGAAGTGCTGGCCTCTAGTATTGAAAGAAAGAAATCAGGGCATTCAAAGGTGCCCCATTCTGCTTGAAGTTGCTGAGCTTACCCTGTGTATCTCTGCCTCAAGTTATTCACTGAGATAAGGAGAAAGGTTTTTTTTTTTTTTTTTTTTTTTCCCTCATTTCTATAGTGGAAGACTTCATTTATGTTTACTGTAATTTAGAAGATCTAGTGTAGGCACAGACTTCGGTGCCGTTGAAACCAGTTGCTCTTAATTTTGAGAATACCCTTTGCTCTTGTATTTCTGCCTCCCTTGCTTATGTGGTAAGCCTTTTCCCAAGTCACGGGAATTAATGCCACGAAGGTTGCTTTCAGTCTTGTGGATGCTGCTCTAAGATGATAGTTTAAATGTGGAAATAACACAGTTTTTTTCCTTTTTCCTTTTACGGATTTTGGTGTTCATCTTAAGTTAGTTACTGTTCATTCACCCATCATTCACTCATTCAAGTGGCTTTTATATGTCAATTGCCACTGCTACTATTGTCTTAAGATTTCCCACCTCTTCCTATACAAAAACCACTTAAGACCCAGCCTGGTCACACTTTGCCACTTCCTCCAGAGCATCCTTACTTTACCTACTTTATCCTTGATGAGGGCCCAAGTGGCATCTGCTTCATCCAGTGTTAGCAGGTGGGGGGTACTGACCAGCATGGCAGGGAGTGGGAGGGGTTGGGCAAGGTAGTGGCTGCTGCAGGGACCCCAAGCTGCCCAGGGCTAAAGGCCCACCTACCTTGGTCTGTGACCTACTTTAGCATGAGGTCATAGAGGTCCTGATGGATGATAGAGTCTTGGATACAGAGAGCACATACCTTTGCTAGCGTCATTGCAGCCTGTGAGTCATAATATTTACAGTTTTTTAATTTTGCTTTCCCGTTTCTTTCTTTTTATTACTCTTTGCCTTTTTATTTTTCCTTCTGTTCCTGCCCTGCCCTGCCTTGTCCTGTCCTATCCTGTCCTTGAACAGCATAGAGATGCTCCCCTCTTTCTTCACTCCTTTTTTCACTCTTTTTTTCTTTTACAGTCCTGCCTCATGGTCTTCTGCCTCAGCCTGGAGTGGTCATTCCAGTGCTTTGGGGGAGGGAAATGCAACACGTTCTGTCTGTCTCAGTCTCTCCTTATCTGTTGTTCTTGGTTTGAGTTTTTTTTTTTTTTTTTTTAAGGAAACAGGGTAGGACCACTTCTCTTTCTAACTCCTTTACTAGAGTAACTGCTGTCTAATTTAGGTGTAGTTTACTTCTCTTTGAGGTTTCATTGGGGTCCCGACGGACATGGAAGTATAGATCAAGGCTTGCACTGAAAAACAAATATGTAAAGAACAACAACGGTGCCAACAACAATAAAAACCCAGGAATTCTTAACCTGTAAATCACCTGGGAGATCTAAAATTGCTGATACCTATCTCCTAACAAATTCTGATTTAATTCATCTGGGGTATGCCTGGAATCCTAACTTTTAAAAGCTCCTTGATTGAAACCAGTTATTAATGACTGGGTTATAAATGCAGTAGAAAGCAGGTGTGTGTAGGAGGGTATTCGGCTGAGTGATGGTAACATGGAGAGTAAGATATAAATGGGATTATGTTTCCTTAGTAACTGGCAGGAATTTTCAGGAAGCCAGAATTACCCCGGTAAACATGAAGATTTTCTTATGCTCCATTCCTGTCGTAGGCTGATTTGTGTGGAGTAGTTTCCTTTCCCACTCCAGTTATTACTCATCTTCTCCCTTGTGTCTTTGTCCAGAGATCTCAGTGTTTTGTTGGAGAAGAATGACTCTTTAAAAGAAATCACTTTAGAATTTTTTAGTAATCATTTTCCTACTTCATACCTTGTCTGTACTGTTTTTGAGGTCCTCTGGGGTCTCTTGTCTAAGTGTTCTGTTTCAGCTTGACCTAGAGGCAAATGTTGTCCTGAACTGTCGTCTGAGCCAGCTTGAGGTGGCATGTGTGATGCCATACAGAGGGGTACTGCTGTGGTGGGAAATTGTTCTCAGGAAACCATTCCAAAAGGAGGTGCAGTTGGTCTCATGAGAAGGTACGTCTTCTCAGATAGTACTAATGCACAGGTGCCAGGTCTTTGAGCAGATGGTTGACAGACACTTGGTCCTGTTTCTAAGAGAGGAATTAATGTGAGATGCTTGAAACCTTCAGTACTAGGGGTCTATATCCGACACTGAATGTATTATCTTAGATGATCCTTTTAGGAATCTCTTGTTTTTGTTTTGTGTTTGTTTTTGAGACAGGGTCTCACTGTGTAATCAAGAATGGCTCTGAACTCATTATGTAGGTACAAGCTGGCCAGAACTTGAAGCCATCTTCCTGCCTTAGCCTTTGGGTTGGATGCTGGGATTATGAGTGCATCACTGTGCCCAGCTTCTTTTCTGGAGCAGGTATTGTTTCATTTTATAGTGAAGAAAAGGTCAGTAAAATTAATTAGCCAGCAACACACAGCAAGTGGTTCACAACATATCTAGGGTCCAGCTCTTATTACTGAACAGCAGCTCCTTTTGGTATTGCTTGCTCACTTCAGTGAAATGAGAGAAATACATGTGGCTTAGGAGAAGGAAGTGGGCAGGGTACAAGAGAAGCCACAACAGTCCCAAGTGAGAAACCCCAGGTTTCTTAAGACAGCTGAAACCAAGCTGCTTCTTTTTTGTGCCTATTTGGCAAGCTCCTCACACAATACCATCTTTGGTATTAGAGATGTAGTTTTTAATGTTTATGGGTGTTTTGCCTACATGTATGTCTGTGTATCATGTGTGTGTACCTGGTGCAAGTTGGGGCCAGAAGAGATCGTTGGATTCCTTCGGCTTCAAACATATCATTTTTTCAGTTAAATATATGAACATTTAAAATAAAGGCTATAAATAGGATCATGATTGTTGGGGTTAGGATTTGGGCCAAAGTTATGGAAAGAAATGTTTCTACAGAGATTATTTATTTTGAAAGTATAGGTGATGAGCTGTGGGCATATAGTTAATTCTCAGGTTATGAAGAATGAGGATATGCTGGCAAAGCTTTCTGAATAGACCATGTGGTAGTTATGTATGAAACATCAACAAAACACAAATGTGTTAGATTTTTGGCTTGAAGGAAAAACATTCTGAGCACACAGCTTTGAAACAAGCGACCTTGGGAGAACTGTGCACAGCTAAGAGTTGAAGGTGCCTTATCTTCCCCATGGTGGTATGGTAGCACTCATTGCTCATGTACATTGGTTGCACATGATTTCCCTTTCCATGTATCAGAGGGGAAAATGGTGTGTGTGTATGTATGTGTGACATGGGATCATCGCCCAGGAATTCCTTTATATTTCTTTATAATAATGTAATAAATATCCTACTGCCATACATGTTTGTTCATATCTCAGTTATTTTCTCAGAATAGATCGATCAAAGAGAAATCTCTTAAGAGAAGGAGAAGGCTATCTTGTGATACGTCAGAGTCTGTGTGTGCATACGCGTGTGTGGAGGAGCCAGAGCTGAAGTTGGGTGTCTTCCTCTGTCATTCTCCACCTTGTCTTTTGTGACAGCCTCTTGCTGAACATGGAGCTCACTGATGGGCTTCAGTGACCTACCTGTCTCCCCTTGGTCCTCCTTTTCAGTACTGGACTTCGAGATTTGTACCTGGATTTTATGTGGGTGCTGGGAATCTGAACGGAGGCCATCATGCTTCCAGGCAAGGATTTTTCCCACTGAGCCATCTCTTCCAGCTCTAGGACTAGAGTTTTGTTAGTTTTCTATAAAACCATTTTGTGGAGTGCTTTTAAACTTAGAACTGCATGAAAAAGATTAGTTTTGAGAATGACTGAACTCATAAATGATTGACTCAACCAGGGGTTCCCAACTTGGGGGTCATGACCCCATTTGCAAACCTTTTGTCTCTAAAGACATTTACATTACAATTCATAAGAGTAGCAAAATTACAGCTATGAAGTAGCCAGAGATAATTTTGTGGTTAAGGGTACCAAAACATGAAGAACTATTATTGACAGATAGCAGCATTAGGAAGGTTGTGAGAACCACTTTACCCAGTCAGATTCAGTGTGATCTTACTTGAAGTCATGCAGACAATTTTAGGTACCTCTTCCTGTTTTTAGGGCTCAAATGAGACCCTATTTGGCCCTACGAATGACAGTTGTCCTTCAGTTCTGAAGCTACCTCCTCTGTGTGGTGTCCCATGGTGCTTGGCCCAGCTCTGAGCAACCAGATGTGTTGTGCTTGCTTCAGGTCTCTGTAACTGCCCCAAGACTGTGGTTATGACTTTAATTTTCTCTGACCTTACAGCTTTGACTCCCTGTGTATTAAACATTCTTTCCATTGTCCAGCCTTAGCTGAAAATGAATTCCTCCATTGGGCAACACTGTGCCACTTCCTGTTTAATATCTCCGCTTGGGCAGCTGCACTAGCAGCATATTTCCATTTCGTCATATTGCACCAGTATCACATGCTGCTAGTGACAGTGAGCAGGACAGATAGGGATGCTGATGGGGGTTTTATTGAGGGATTTCACGTTCTTGGCTGAGGGTACAAAAAAGGTCAGGTTGACAAGTGATCATAATGACTTGACCTTTTAGATATCAGCTTTCTTTTTAGTTGGACCTTTGACTCTCAAAGTCACAGCCCCAGAGAAAGAAGTGGCTACAGTTTTGGGGGTCTTTGTTGGAACTGAGAGAAGATGAAGTAGTAATTACACACATGACCAAGAGAATTCTTTTTTTTATTATTAATTACAGTTTATTCACTTTGTATCCCCCCATAAGCCCCTCCCTCCTCCCCTCCCGGTCCCACCTTCCCTCCCCCTTCTTCACGCTTGCCCCTCCCCAAGTACACTGATAGGGGAGGTCCTCCTCTCCTTCCTTCTGATCCTAGTCTATCAGATCACCTCAGGAGTGGCTGCATTGTCATCTTCTGTGGCCTGGTAAGGCTGCTCCCCCATCAGGGGGAGGTGATCAAAGAGCAGGCCAATCAGATTATGTCAGAGGCAGTCCCTCTTCCCATTACTATGGAACCCACTTGGACACTAAACTGCCATGGGCTACATCTGTGCAGGGGTTCTAGGTCATCTCCATGAATAGTCTTTGGTTGGAGTATGAGTCGACCAAGAGAATTCTTTGGTTGGGAGTGTCTTCAGTGCCATATTCTGGCTTAATTGGCACTAGAGGATACATTTCTCAGATTTTTGCAATGTGGAGAGTAAGTTTGTGTACCAGCCTTTAGAATAGGCTGGAAATAGAATGTGACTGCAGGTACAGAGAGGGCTGCAACTCCAGCAAGTACCTGGACATGTAAGAAGCGTAGTAGGAGACTTGGGTTGAAATGATGGGGTGGAGGCTGGAAAGGGACATTCTGGACTAGACTAGCTCTAAGGATCTCAATTAGTTCCTTCATCTCCTTGCTATCTCTGCATGGTAATGTGTAGCCCCTGCCTTGCTTCCTTCAAGCAGACATGGATTGCTAGGCCAAAGTCTACAGGTACCAGTGCTATACATTCTAAGGGCTTCACAGCCAATACTCCTCAGAGCTTTATGCATGTATAGGACAGAGGTAGCATAACCCATATTCCCAGACTACAGGTTTTGCGCCAAGAGAGTCCTCCTACCCGGTTTACCCCAAGGCCCACTGTCCATTAAAATTGCTTTTTTTTTTTTTCTGAA